AACCTGCTGTAAAACCCAGGCTTAAACTGGTTTTGATGGGTCAGGGAAATGCAGGGAAAACCACACTCAGGCAGTGCATTGTCAACAAACCGTCAGATGCCAAGATGGCCATTGGATGTAGGGGTATTGACGTGACGAACTGGGTTGCGGATGCAGATCGGAGTCTTACATTCATTGTATATGATTTATCTGGTAAACAGAACTATGATCTTATCAAACCCTTTTTCCTCTCTCCTGGAGCACTTTATGTTTTGGTGGTGAATCTGAAATTGTACACATCAAAGAGCTTCTACTCCCTTGTTGGCAGTTTTCTTCACTTGCTCAGTGCCAAGGTGCCACATGCAGTTGTTTGCATTGTAGGGACCCACTGTGACTTGTGTGAAGAGGTCGAGGTTGAAGAAAAGTGCCTGGATATTCACAGACAGATTTCGCTCCAGGAAAAAATGGACACTGAATGCCTACAAGTGCTTGCCCTGCAGGTTGACGAAGCCCTTGAGCAAGGTTACGGTGTTCGGACTTCTAGCCCCCATGTTCTCTTTTATGGGGTCATGGATAAAAACTTGAGACGTAAAAAGTCTCAGTTGCAATATATGCTCAACAATCGACTACAAATCCTGTCTCCCGTGATTTGCGTCAGTTGCGTGGCGGTGCAAAGAAACATCCAGCATTTGAAAGAGAAGCTCATGTCTGTCGCCGATCACAGGGAGATTTTTCCCAATCTTCACAGAGTCCTGCCAAAATCATGGCAGATGCTTGAGGAACTGCATTTTAAGCCACAGGATTTATGGCTTTCCTGGTGGGATTCGGCCCGGTTGGGTCTTCAGGCTGGGCTGACGGAGGACCGCCTACAAAGCGCGCTCTCGTACCTACATGATAGTGGTAAACTTTTGTACTTTGAAGACAGCATGACGTTGAAGGAATACGTCTTCCACAATCTACCCCGGTTTATCGCCATCTTGAATGTGTTTTTTCAGAGAGACCTCGCTGCAATGCTTGAGAAACTACAGGCTGAAGGAGACGATGGAGATAATGCCAGGTCTACGCAGATGCATGGTCACATGGAGGGTTTTCTGTTGCACGGCCTATTGCCGTCAAATGTGATTCGATTGCTGCTCAAACCCCTGGTACAGACACAGCAGGACTTGCACCTGATCATGGAACTGCTGGAAAAGATGGGCGTCTGCTACTGTGTCAACAAACCTCGCAGCAAGCCGCTTAATGGGGCCATCGTTTGGTACAAGTTTCCCAGTCAGGTCAGCAACGAGGAGCCCCATCCTGAGGCCTCGGCCAGTGGGGGGTCGTCAATCCCTGGTCAGTTCTTCTCGGTTGAGCAGCTGCAGATTGAATACAGGTTTCCTTTCTTCACCCCTCTTGGACTTTTTGCACGGTATAGCGTGCAAATCAACAGCCACGTGGTGCAACGGTCCGATGGAAAACATCATATCTTTGCCTATCGGGGTAAAGTGCCTGTGACGGTGAGTTACCGGCCCTCTCGGAACCGATTGCAGCCTGAGACCCTCTCCATTTCCAGCCATGCATCCTTGCCAAATATCTGGACAGCTTGGCAAGCCATTATTCCCCTAGTGGAAGAGTTAAACGTTCTTCTGCAGGAATGGCCTGGCCTTCACTACTCTGTGCATGTCCTGTGTTCCAAGTGCCTGAAGAGAGGTTCCCCCAATCCACATTCCTTTCCAGGTTAGTGTTCAGATTTGATTGTGCTTGATATCATGCGTTGTTCCTAATACAAATTGTCACCATAATTGCTTATTGCCACCACATATCGGCATTAATGTTAAAGAATAGTTCACTCAAAAATTTAAATTCCAGATTGTTCTGGTCTGGGTTTATTGCCAAGTAAACACTGTACAATAAAGGGTGAATCAGCGTGAAATGAAGTCATTTTGGGATGGATCTAGGCTAAACAAAGAATGAGCATGGTTGACCATGACAAGGGGGGTCTCGCTGGGTTTGAAGCCACACCTAGAAACACAAATTAGCCTGAGCTGTCTGCTGTGCTGCTGAGAACACAGACTTGCACATCCACAGCAGTGGAGAGGATCACCATGGTAACATCATATGCCTTTCTTCATGGGATGCAGATTAGGTGCAGTAGCCACTGGCATATATAGTATCCTAGGTTCCGTATATTTATTTTTAAAGTAAAAATAAATAAAAATAATAATAATATGAAATATTCAGAAATATTCTTGGGGGTCTTGTTTTCTGTAGTTTTGGCATGGAGTAGGTGCCATTATTGTATTTTGTCATTTGAGCTGTACACAATTTGGGGTTATGGAGTGTGTGGTTACAAAATATTACATTAATGCATATAGGTTTGGTTCACCTAGGCCAGGGGTAGGCAAGTTCGGTCCTAGAGAGCCGCAG